TATATATATATATTCAACCGGGCTGCCGGGACTAGGACCGAGCCATTACCGGGTCGGATCACCGAGACAAAACGGTCGTCCCGTCCCATCCCTCATCTCATTACCTCCCATCCTATCCCACTAAGACCTGTCGGGCGGGACCGGGACCGGGACCGGGCCAGGCCATCCCTTTAGACACCCATAGAACGAATGCATGCGGCATATTAGGCTCAATGGACAATACGTCCCTTGGGCTGGGTTGTGATAAATGTTTTTAGTATTAGCTTCTATCCACTATTTTTTTTCCCTTGACGAGGCACAACTTTTTGAGGAATTTTCTTGAAGAAGAATAGTTTAGAGCCTAATTGTAACGACCCGACTGGTCGTTTCGAGAGTTATAGTCCTGTTCCCTCATTTTCGGCTTTTTTTGTGTTCTACAGCTGTATTTCTACTTACCGGTTAGTTGGTTTGGGTCCGAAGTTATTTTGGAGTGAATTGAGATACTTAGTTTCCTAGTTGGAAGCTTAAGTTGGAAAAGTTGACTGGATGTGGACTTATGTGTAAACGATCTCGGATTTGAATTATTATGGTCCCGTTAGATCCATTAGGTGATTTTGGACTTAGGAGCGCGTCTGGAATGTGATTTGGAGGTCCAAAGTAGAATTAGGCTTGAATTGGCGAAAGTTAGAATTTTGGCGATTTTGGCTGGCAGTGGAAATTTTGATATCGGGTCGGATTGGATTTCTGAAAGTTGGAGTAGGTTCATGGTGTCATTTTTGACTTGTGTGCAAAATTTGAGGTCATTCGGACGTGATTTGGTAGGTTTCGGCATCACTTGTGGAATTTGGAAGTTTAGAAGTTCTTAGGCTTGAATCCGGGAGTAATTTGGTGTTTTGATGTTGTTTTGAGTAATTCGAAGGTTCGACTAAGTTCGTATGATGTTATGGGATGTGTTGGTATGTTTGGTTGAGGTCCCGAGGGTTGGGTTGATTTCGAGTGATTTACGGAACAAGTTCGGAAAGTGGAAGGCTGTTGAAGTTGAACTCAGCTGTCATAATCACACCTGCGAAGTGGGAACCGCAGAAGTGGAGAAGGAGCCGCAGAAGCGGCCAAGGTTGAGCTGGGCAGAGGATGCAGGTTCGATGGCATTCCTGCACCTGCGGTGGTCGTAGAAGCGGACCCAAGGGCGCAGGTGCGAGTTTGGACCGCAGAAGCGAGATGGTTTCCGCACCTGCGGAAGCGTAGATGCGATCTTGAGGCCGCAGGATCGAGGTCAGGATTTTTAAGTGAAATCCGCACCTGCGATGGATTTTCCGCAGGTGCGGCATTCCAAAAGCGACATATGGACCGCAGGTGCGGTATAGCTGAGCAGAAACATATAAAAGCGGGACTTTGAGATTTTTCACCAATTTCACATTTTGGAACTCGGATTTTGGAGGATTTTGAGGTGATTACTGATGTTAGGTCCTTGTGCTTATTTATTTTTAATAATAGTGTTTTCCCACTGATTTTACACCTAGTTGGTGAGTTTTTGAGGCGAAATTTGGGAGATTAGGGCTTGAGAATTGGAGAGTGAATTTTGGGGATTTGGAGGGGCAAATGATGTCGGATTTTGATGAAATTAGTATGGTTAGACTCGTGAGTGAATGGGCTTTCGGGTTTTGTGACTTTTTTCGAGTTTCGAGACTTGGGATCGGGGGGCTAGGTTTGAGCCTATTTCGGATTTTGGCTATAATTTGATATTTTTCTTGTGGAATTAATTCCTTTAGCCCATATTGTTCGTATTGTATTGTTTGTGCTATACTTGGGACGTTTGGAGGCTGATTCGAGAGGCAAAGGCATCACGGAGTAGGATTTTTTTCGGATTGAGGTAAGTAACAGTTGAAAATCTGGTCTTGAGGGTATGAAACCTCGGATTTTGTGTCGTGTGACTATTTTGAAGGTGACGCACATGCTAAGTAATGGGCGTGTGGGCGTGGATCATAGGGATGGTGACTTGGTCCGTCCCGTGAGACTGGAGAATTGATTAGCCTACTGTTTTACTATGTGTTCTCTCTGTTTTTATGGAAATTGATTGCACTTCATGTTAGAAATCATGTTTAGGCCTCTAATTATATGCTTTCTGAGAGCCCGAGGGACTGGTGAGGTTGGTGACTGTGATAGGGCCTAAGTGCCGAGCTGCGAGCTATATGAGTGTATATGGATCGGGTTTGTTGATACTCAATTTTTTCCTGTATATTTTAATATGCAAAGTACCTTCAAAATAGCATGTATATGCATATATAAGTATGTCCCAATATTTTATTATTTTTTTTAATTTTTAAATCAATTTATTGCCCTATTTTATCAAGAAAACCCAATAATTATTCCCAAAATTATCATTTTGGTAATTCATTTATTGAATTCTCATACCTATACTAAAATATAGCTAACATAATTTTTTCATATTTTTATAAATTTATTTAGTATTTTTAAAGCTAAACTGCATATAATTGCAATATTAGCCTCTTTTAAGGTTTAATTGTGTTAATAATTATAAAATTAACTCCCGTATTTTTAATTTAATAATTACATATTATTAATCATTTTAGTACCTTTAATTTATTTTCAGAAAT